AGCTGAAGTTTTGGCAAGAGACACTTCAAGGTTTCTGCCACAGACCCTGCCATGGAAGCACAAAAGAGAACACTGGACCCCCTGCCTCCTGCCCCTGTTTCCATTTCCCGAAGCTGCTCTGTGCTGCCCTGTGCTTGGCAGGTGTCCCAGCTACAAACACAGGCTTAAAGTCCATAGGCAGGCACAGACTCACAATGTGTATATATATGCATGATTTTTGAATAATATAAATAAACCTAGACAGCATATTAAAAAGAAGAGATGTCACTTTGCCGACAAAGATCCATATAGTCAAAGCTATGATTTTTTCCAGTAGTCATGTATGGATGTGAGAGTTGGGCCACAAAGAAGGTCGAGTGCCAAAGAACTGATGCTTTTGAACTGTGGTGTTGGAGAAGACTCTTGAGAGTCCCTTGGACTTGCAAGGAGTTCAAGGCAGTCAATCCTAAAAGAAATCAGCCCTGAAAATTCACTGGAAGGACTGATGCTGAAACTGAAATGCCAATACTTTGGCCATCTGATGTGGAGAACTGACTTACTGGAAAAGACCCTGATGCTGGGAAAGATTGAAGGCAGGAGAAGAAGGAGGTGACAGAGGATGAGATGGCTGGATAGCATCACCAATTCGATGGACGTAAGTTTGAGAAAGCTGTGGGAGTTAGTGATGGACAGAAAGTCTGGCATGCTGCAGTCTGTGGGGTTGCAAAGAGTCAAACACAATGGAGTGACTGAACTGAACTGAACTGAACTGAAAAAATTCTATATTTTTACTTGTTGGCTTTCTGGATTAAAAGATGTATACTCTACCAGGTCTTAATATAATGCTAAACAGCTGTTTCAGCAAGATACATTTTCAAAAAGTAATATTACTTTTCTCTACATTTACATGCTCTTAGGATTATTATTTCTCCTTTGAATTTAATTATCTGCTAGTAATCTTATAGAATGGAAATAAACAAGTAAGAGTTCCATATTTGTGCTATGAAAATTATTTTTATAGTAAGCTGATTAAGGAGAGAACACACCATTCTTTTCATTTTCTACTGATGATCACTAATTACTGACTAGGTTAGAGAGTTTTAAGAATTCTTAATGTATTATGACTGTGATAGAAAAATGCATTATTAATCTGTATGTTTATGGGGAGGGGAACCCTTCTCTTGTTGGACCTACCAAAAACTATTATATTAACCACTGGATCAACTGGTATAGGTAGAAAGAGAAGACATATTAACAAACAAAAAGTCATTTGCTCCCTGAATTAGTAAAAAAGATATCCTAAAAAACATTACTATGTTTGACAGAAGAAAAAAAAAAAAAAAACCCACAATACATTCTGGTTAGACAAGTACCGACCAGAGACAGTAAAACTTATTATCCATTAAATGGTGCTTGTACTATAATTTCACTGAATGAATTTTGAGACCAATAAAGTTAGAATTAGCATCAATCATGCCCTTTGTTTTACTAAAAATCTTTAACAGCCTTATTGAGGCATAATTGGGATATAGGAAGCAGCAAATATTTAAATCTATAATTTTGTAAGTTTTGACATATGTATATACTTGTGAAAGTACCAACTCAATCATAATAATGAACACAGAATATCCAATCAAAAATTTCCTTGATGACCCTTGTCAATCTCTTCCATATTTCCCAGCCCTCTTCTAAACTGCCAAATTGTTTTACAAAGTGGTGGCCCCAGTGCATTAAAGTTCTAACTGCTCCAAGTCCTCACCAACACTTGATATGATTGAAAATTGGAAGTGGCTCAGTCCTGTCTCTTTGTGACCCCATGAACTATACAATCCATGGAATCCTCCAGGCCAGAATACTGGAGTGGGTAGCCTATCCCTTCTCCAGGGGGTCTTCCTGACCCAGGAATCTAACCGGGGTCTCCTGCATTGCAGGCGGATTCTTCACCATCTGAGCTATCAGCTGATATGCTTAAATACTTCCATTTAGACATTTTAACAGGGGTGCTGTGATATTTGATTATGGATTTAATTTTCATTCCTCTGCTGCTGCCGCTGCCCTAAGTCACTTCAGCTGTGTCCAACTCTGTGCAACCCCATAGACGGCAGCCCACCAGGCTCCTCCACCCCTGGGATTCTCCAGGCAAGAATACTGGAGTGGGTTGCCATTTCCTTCTCCATTCATTCCTCTAGTGACTAAAAATGTGTTTTCATTTGTAATTCTTTGTTAAAGTGTCTGTTTAAATTTTTTGTTGTTTTTTTAAAAAATCCTATTTTTCTTTTCTAATTGTTGCATTCTTTCTATATGCTAGAATCTAGTGGGTTTTTTTTAGATGTGTGATTTGCAAATATTTTCTCCAAGAGACTTTTCTTTTGATTCTCTTTAATGGTGTCTTTTATAGATCAAAAGTTCTTCCATTGATAAAGTCAAATATATCTGTGATGAAAATTTACTGATGTATGCAAAATATTTACATGCAATTATAGTGGCACATCAAAATATGACATAACATTCCTCTTTTATTTAGTGAATTCTTATTCCAGATAGCCATATTGATCATCTATTTGATTATCATCATCAGTTTAAGCAGGTCTTCAGTCTCACAAAAGTATTAGAAATATGTGAAATGTTACTATTTTTCAACTGAAGTCAGTCTCCCTTTGTATTACCAGTGTAATAATATGTAATATTACCATATTTTCCAGAACTTCCCACAGTTATTTTACAGAAAAAAAAAAATCTAAACATTTTATTTCTGAAAAGAAATGATAACAGTATATGAAAATCTGCAACTTTCCACACTATTCATGTCTGTGCTATGTTTAGTTGCTCAGTCACGTCCAGCTCCTTGTGGTCCCATGGACTGTAGCCTGCCAGGCTCCTCGGTCCATGGGAATTCTCCAGGCAAGAATACTGGGCTGGGTGCCATGCCCTCCTCCAGGGGATCTTCCCCACTCAGGGATTGAACCTACCATTGCAGGTGGACTCTTTACCATCTGAGCCACCAGGGAAGGCTATTTAGAATATCTGTCTGGAATATTGAATATTCATGTCTGGAATATTCTAAATACCCTTCTTTTTGGTAGGCTGTATTGTTGTTCTCAATTCCTCACTTTCTACCTGTGTCCAAACTTTTTTTGCAACTGACTTGCTATACTTCCCACTGAGGTGACTTAAAGTATCCTTGATGCTATTAGTGTTGGGTGTGGACAGATGACTTACTTCGGCCAATGGAATATTAGTGGATGTGACATGAACAAGGTGCATACATGTACTCATGGGCTTTGGTTTCCCTCTTCTATCTTTGTAAGCACAACGAGAAGTGCATGCTTCTTGTAGCTGTTGTTCCTTCCATCTGAACCTCAGAATGGATCAGTAGAGTGAACTGGACATTGAACCAGAAGCTTGAAACTAACCCATTTTTAAGACAGAGCTGCTCCTGATGATTCAAAGACAGAAAATATGTGTATAGCTTTAAGTCTTGAGTTACATAGCATTGTTGCAGGAATAGTTAACTACTATACTCTAGTACATCCACACAAAATTGTGGGTGATGGAGGGGTCTTTTTTTATGAAGAAGTAACACTCCTCCTTTTTGAAGATATATCATTCTTACAGGGAGGCGCACTGAGCATCTTTCTCATGAATGGAAAATATCTTCGTTCCAAAGAAAAAATTAAAATACCAAAAAGAATTCTACAGATAAATGCTTAAGCATATTTTGCAAAGAAAATAGGGAAACATATATTTTAAAGTAATAAGGATAATGATTTCAGCTAATTAGCATTTCTTGAACTTTATATTCCTAGACAGCTGGGGACATATGTTTTATAGACATTACATATCTTAAGGCTCATTAGCAAACTTGTGTAAAAGGGAGGGATTATTAACAGCACTACATAAAGTAGGATTTCTCAATGCCTGGTCCCCACACCAACAGAATTAACATCACTTGGGTGCCTGTTATAAATGCAAATTATCGGGACCCTCCCCAGACCCACTGAATCACAATTCCTGGGCTCAAGGCACAGGAATTTGTATTTTAACAACTTTCTAGGTTACTCTAAAGCACAGTCAACTTTGAGAACCACTGAAGAAGGCAGAGGGGTGTGGGAGACACAGAGGTTAAGTAACTTGTACAAATAAGGCAGCTAATTAATGTGTGTTTTAGGGTTTTAACTGGACATTCCTACTTTCATTATGTGTTAGATGCTTTGTACACATAATCTCATTTAATATTCAGTGAACCTACAAATTAGATACTGTCATTCCAATTTTTACAGATGAGGAAACAGAGCTCCTGGGTCAATAGTTAATAAGCTGTGAGCTGTTATCTATAACCATATCTGTCCAATTCCAAAGTCAATAACTTATTACTATACCAAAATTCATTCATTAGAAATTGAAAACAAGCAGGGCATCAAGAAGTTTTTCCATGTGTAGAATATAATCTTCCAGAATTACTCCAAGACCACTGCCCAGAAAATAGAAGACTAACTGTGCTGTCACAGCATCAATGAGCTGTGTCTAACAGAAAATTAAAGAATTGGAAAACCTTCAACCTATGAAACAGAAGCTATTCTCAAGACAGCTTTATTGAAAGTTACTTCAAGATAAATCTATTAATGAAAAACACAAATAGTTAATGTTACTCACATATTAATTAGATTTTCAACTTAAGCCAAGGTTGTAAAATACTGGTCAATGGGTCATTTTTTGGCAAGTAGATAATTTTATTTGGCCCACCAAAAGTGAGTTTTTTTGTTTGGGTTTTTTGTTGTAGCTATTTTTCTGGAGTTTCTGTTTTTGTTTTGCTTGTTATTTTTTATTTTTGTAAGAGCTTAAATTTAGGCTTAAAAATGAGATGATATACCAAAAAATCTATATATCCAGTGTCTCTTAAAAAATCATTTCTGGCAACATGAGAACCAAGTTATACATGACATTGATAGGCTGAGCCACCTCTATTGGAAGCACTCTCTTTTCTGTTAGCCATTTCCTATTAACAAACGCTATCTGAGGACCTGTCAAGAGTGCAGGTTGGAGTCAATCATTCTTGGGTTGAATTTTCTCTTTACCAGGTACTAGCAGTGTGATCTTGGGCAAGTTCTGCAGGTTCCACATCTATAAAATAAAGATAACAAAAATAGATACCACATTTATTTCTGAGAGATTATGACAGTGTATAAAAAGTATTCAGGTTATTTCCTGGCATCTATTAAGTAAGTGCTCAATAAAGATTAGTTCTTAGTTTGTTTTTGTTACTATTATCTATTAGTTATCTTTTTTCCAATAGGAAAGAATACTTCACTATATTTATGTTTTTCCCAGAAATAGTGCTGTTAGTCAGTAGGCAGGGTGTTTTCAGCAGAAAATAGATTATATGTAGAGTTATGATAATTATAGGACTGTTTAAACACGAGCAGGGGACAGGGATCCTCTGAGGAATAGTGGAAACTGTCAATCATTGTTGGCTGAAAAACAAGGGGAGGTGATGGCTCTCAGCTTCTTGAAGGAGGGAGAGATTTGTGTGGAGAAGGATTACTTAAAAACAGCTGTGGTTTTTGCTGAGGGAAGCAGGCAGTTGGCGAATATCCTGTAGGGGAGAACAGAGCAGGCAGAGTAAATCCTGAGGTCTCCATTCTCTTCATTCTTTATGACTGGAACTAAACTGAAATCCAGAGGACTAAGGAGCTCAGTAACATTCTGTACAGTTGTCCTCAGGGTCGAGAGACATCAAGGTGAGGATTAACTTAAGAAAGTCAAGTATGTACGTCAGACAACTTCCCAGCTTATGGTAACCTCACATGCTTAGTCACTTCAGTCATGTCCAATTCTGTGCGACCCTGTGAAATGTATTCCACCAGGCTGCCCTGTCCATGGGATCTCCAGGCAAGAATACTGGAGTGGGTTGCCATGCCCCACATGAAGGGATCTTCTCAATGCAGGGATATTGTAACACTATTCTATTATTAATGCCACATTTTCTAGAGCCTCACAGCCTCTTCAGTTCAGTTTAGTTCAGTCGCTCAGTCATGTCAGATTCTCTGAGACCCCATGAACTGCAGCACACCAAGCCTCCCTGTCCATCACCGATTCCTGGAATTTACTCAAACTCATGTCCATTGAGTCAGTGATGCCATCCAACCATCTCATCCTCTGTTGTCCCCTTCTCCCTTTCCCAGCCTTCAGTCTTTCCTAGAATCAGGGTCTTTTCAAATGAATCATTTCAAATCAGCTGGCCAAAGTAGTGGAGTTTCAGCTTCAGCATCAGTCCTTCCAATGAATATTCAGTACTGATTTCCTTTAGGATGGACTGGTTGGATCTCCTTGCAGGCCTCTCTCCTTGCAGACTCTCAAGAGTCTTNTGGCATAGTCAATAAAGCAGAAATAGATGTTTTTCTGGAACTCTCTTGCTTTTTCAATGATCCAGCGGATGTTTGAAATATGATCTCTGGTTCCTCTGCCTTTTGTAAAACCAGCTTGGACATCTGGAAGTTCACGGTTCACATATTGCTGAAACCTGGCTTGGAGAATTTTAAGTATTACGTTATTAGCATGTGAGATGAGTGCAATTGTGTGGTAGTTTTAGCATTCCTTGGCACTACCTTTCTTTGATATTGGAATGAAAATTGACCTTTTCCAGTCCCGTGGCCACTGCTGAGTTTTCCAAATTTTCTGGCATATTGAGTGCAGCGCTTTCATAGAATCGTCTTTCAGGATTTGAAAAAGCTCAACTGGAAATCCATCACCTCCACTAGCTTTGTTCATAGTGATGCTTCCTAAGGACCCCTTGACTTCACATTCCAGGATGTCTGGCTCTAGGTGAGTGATCACATCATCATGATGATCTGGGTCGTGAAGATCTTTTTTGTACAGTTCTTCTGCGTATTCTTGCCACCTCTACTTAATATCTTCTGCTTCTGTTAGGTCCCTACCATTTCTGTCCTTTATTGAGCTCATCTTTGCATGAAATGTTCCCTTGGTATCTCTAATTTTCTTGTAGAGATTGCCAGTCTTTCCCATTCTATTGTTTTACTCTATTTCTTTGCACAGCCTCTAGAAAATCATTTTACTATGGTATATTTTTGCTTTTTGCCCTGTACTGTCTGGTTCTCCTTAAGTGTCACTCCTTCAAATTCTTAAGTAAGTGAAACTTGGGGTTAATTTTTATCCAGATAATATAGATTTCAATTTCTATTACCTTAAACACAACAGAAAACCAGCTCATAACTAAATAACTTTGAAAGTTCCAATAAGCTTTGTGTTGGTGTTTGGGGAATCACATGATATAAACAGGATGCTCTCTGATCAAAAACACTTCAGCAGATCGATCTGGATAAGGCATGTATTTGTATCTCCCCAGAAGGCAGTTTGCTTGACAGAACTACAATCTCTTCAGTGTAACGATGTGTGGTAGTGCAAAACCATGTATTCCGTTTTTACAGGAGTGTTATTAAAAGACACAGGCACAAGAAAAAAAAGGCCTCCGGAAGCTGATAGAGGACTCCCAGCCTCTAATCAGCTACACAACTTCCTGTGGAACTCTCAGCAAGTCAAATCAACACACAGCAGCTTCCAATTAGCAATTTGATTTCTTCCTCTCCAAAATGTAGAGACATCAAAAGATTGCCAGACATCTGAAGAAAATCTAACATGAAGGACAGACTGAAAAATAAAAGGAAAATAATGGACTTTGAACAAAGCAAAAAAAAAAGGACGAAAAGAAAAAGTTTTTTGTTTTTTTTTTTTCCTGAGGAATAGCAGTTGCAAAGGAGGGTATGAAGAAATCCTACAAAAGAAACAAAAAGGAGCATCTGTAAATTTAATAAGTCTGTGAAAATCCATCCTTTGAATCTGTCCTTGAGTTCTGGCTACCTGGTTTGTGCCTTTAGGCAGTACTGTATCAAATAAGGATAATATATTGGGATTTTGCTGTTGGGAGAGTAATTTGCAGGAAAAGGTCAAGACTTCATCTATCTTGAAAACCACAGCTGGAGCAGATGAACAGACCACTCAGGCATTTTTTAGGGTGAAAAACAGATGTGTGCTAATGTGCATATATGGTGGCCAGTACCTGTACATTTCCCCCCATGCATGTAATAAAATACATATCTAATCATAATAGTGCCAGGTCAAAGGATAAGCTTTGCTGTAACACTTCAAATATGTTAACATTTTCTCCCAAGTAGAAAGGAACTAGTTTTTAAGTGAAAATAAGCACTTCTACAGGCTTCCCAGGTGGTGCTAGTGGTAAAGTATCCACCTGTCAATGCAGGAGATGCAAGAGATGCAAGTTCTATCCCTCGGTCAGTAAGACATCCTGAAGTATGAAATGGCAACCTATTTCAGCATTCTTGCTTGGAAAATTTCATGGGCAGAGGAAGCTAGAGGGAACAGTCCATGGGGCCCCAAGGAATCGGGCACGACTGAGGGACTGAGCACACATACACACATGCACAACCACTTGAACAAAAGAATAAAGTGTGAAATATCTTGAATAGTCAATAAACTGAATATAGTCACTAGGCACCTGTGTTGAGAATTACTAGGAAAAATAAGTTGAACATCAGGAAATACCTAAGCAAAGTCTTCATTTCACTGTTATGTCTTAGTTATCAATTACATTACTGAAGAAAAGTATAAAGTCATTTTGATTATTATCAAGACTTCACAATTCCATAACCAGAACACAAAATTTCATAAGTTTTTGAGAGCAAAATATGAACTTAGAAGGCACTGGGCCCTACTCTCAGAAAATGAAATTTCATAGATAGGAAATGACTTCCTAGGATCCCATATCTTCTAATGACTTAGCCCAAACAAAACCCAAATTCTATGCAATCTTAATTGTGTAGATTTAAAAATTATTAGGATACTTAAATATTATCTACTATGTGAAAAACTCAAAGGTATTTCATCAGCTGACTTGCATTCAAATTTCTATTCCCATACTGATAACTTACAGTAAACAGCTTCGGATTCCTGATCTCCGAAGAAGGTGATTTAGCTTTGGGACCAGAGACCAGGCTTGATCAAGAGCTTTTGTGTAGCAGAGTTTTATTAAAGTATAAAAAGGGACAGCGAAAGCTTCTGACATAGACATCAGAAGAGGATGGAGAGTGCCCCCCTTGCTAGTCTTAGCATGGCCTTAAATCCTTTTGCCAGACCCACTCCCACAACATACATCATAAATTAACAAGATTAGAACAATAAAAAGGTCTTACCAGACCCACTCCCATAGTATACAAGTTTTAAGATAACAAGATTAGTCAGAGGTTCTTGTTAAGGAGAAACATGTCCTTGAGCAGGATACATTGTTATACTGACTAAGACAAAACAATGTAGAAAAAAGTTTGTCCTTGTCTCCTCCTTGAGAGCCTGGGACCCCTTTCTCCTCCTTGGGGATCCTGGACTTCTTATCAACCTTCCTAGGAATTGACTCTATCAATAGTCATGTTGTTACTTTGTGGAAAAATATTCTAGAGTTTTTCATATATAAAATCAAAATCTTGACTTTTACTATATTTTATTTGTTTCTTAGAAAGCAGCATGAAAGTTCTTCACTTGTCTCATGCATCCAACCTGGACTGGCGATCTGTTTCACACTTGATAATATACATGTTTCAATGCTGTTCTCTCAGATCATCCCACCCTCACCTTCTCTCATAGAGTCCAAAAGTCTGTTCTATATATCTGTGTCTCTTTCTCTGTCTTGCATATAGGGTTATCATTATCATCTTGAACATTTTAAACAAAGATTATTCTTGAAAAGAACAACAAAGAATTGCAAGAATTAATATATAGTTGGTGTATCTGGAAAGAACTTCAGTGAGACATGATGCTGGAAAGTCAACAGAAGCAGGACTTAATATCTTCTTAGACTATACTGAGGTGACTGATGATACTTTGTTTTCTCTCTATAGGCAAACATATATAACTGAAACATGTAATGGAATATTTATATTTTATGAATATATAAAAATTTTGATCAATGGATTGGATGGCATAAATTCTTGATTCCAGGAGACCAGTTGAATAATTATTATAATTGTCCAAACCCTAAAGTTAATGCAAACAGGTGTTGTTCAGTCATGTCCAACTCTTTGCGAGCCCATGGACTGA